TGGTGTGGCTACAAAAAAGATCCAAAAGGTTATAAGCACGGAGATCTTCCCGGGGGGAAGGATTTGAAGGGCGAAGACCTGCGCGCGGTGCTTGAAGATGCTCTTCGGCCATTTATGTCTGAGGAATCAGCAAAGAAGCTAGCCCCTGGTGGCTCGTCACAGCGTAATGAATGCGTTAACAGCGTGGTTGGTTCTAAAGCCCCAAAAATCAGGCACTACGGAGGGTCTGAAAGTAGCGACTTTCGAACCGCAGCGGGAATCGCCCAGTTCAACGAAGGGCATAGCTACGTCACACTTGCCGCAGAAAAAATGGGTTTGTCAGGTATGTCTGTTACAGAAGAGTATACTAGAAAAATGGAAAGCCAAAGGAAGCGGAACGCCGAAAGGAAAACAACTAAGGAGTTTAAAAGGGTAAGAAGAAACTCCCGAAAGAAAAGGAATCTAAGGAAAAATTCAGTCGAAGCACGTGAGGGAGTGACATATCAAAGCGGTATTGGATTGCAGCAAACCGACAAAAACTATGTTGTTACTAATGCAACTATGACTGATCTTAAAGCAAGTCTTACTAAGGAGGAGTTTCAAGGTTTCACAGAGCCCCTTCCTAAATTGAATAACGGAACGATACCCGAATTACCTACCTCTCCACACAACTACCTCTTCTTGTCAATGGACTTAGAGACAACGGGGCTTGAACGGAAGTCTGAAATACTTCAAATCTCATGCTCCCCATCAAATGTGGAAACTGAGTCATTTTCTGAAAACCTTTTCCCAGAACGTCAAATTATCAATCAGGCGGCGACGCAGGTGCACGGTATTAGCGTAGACTTTCGAAATGGCCGAAAAACGTTGATGAGGAGGGGGACTGAACTGGCAGCCGTATCACAGACACAGGGTCTAACAGATTTTTGCTCCTATCTTGAACACTACTCTCACTCAGCCAGGATTGTACTAATTGCACATAATGGAGATAAATTTGACTTCCCTGTTCTGATAAATGCACTTGAAAGGAACAATTTACTTAGAGTGTTTCTCTCCATCAATGTTTTACTTGTGGATTCTTTAAAAATTGTTTCAAAGGAAATGAAACAGAAAGATAGTCCATTGCAATCCTGCAAGAGCAAGTCCTTATCTGACCTTTATGAGTGCCTAATCAAGGAAACGTTTGACGCACATGATGCCGCGGAAGATGCTGCCGCCTTATCTCGAGTGTTATTTCAGTCGCCTTTGAAAGTCACACCTGAAAAGTTCATTGAAAATTCTTCCCCGGCAGCTGCATTCGTAGAAGAAATGAAGTTTTCACAGGAGGCCAGAGCACGGAAAACAACTCTGCATCAACTGCCGGTTTCTGAAGGCATGAAGGAGAAGTTGGGAAAGGCCGGACTTGACTTGACAACAATGGAGGACGTTTACAGAAGGGGTGGTACCAAAGCTCTGCTAGCAGTGATAGGTCTACCAGAAGCGTTCGAAGAAATAGGAGACAAAGCCAGTAAGCCAAGAGTAACCAAGAACGTAAAAATTCTTTCAGCAATCGTAAATTTTTTTCCAAACAGGCGTTCTTAAATGAATGAATGTGTCAGTTACCCGAAGTCCCACTTTCTATTTTGCAGCATGTTTTCGGTAATTTAAAAGGTGCCATTAAGTAGATTATTATTACATCCACGAAAACTAAATGGCTATTGTTATTATTTTAGACTTTAAAGAATTGTTTGTAACTACTCTATTCGTGTAATTAATTAAAAAAATGAAAATTGGATCGGAATGCACCGACGTTGCTAAAAGAAAACAGAAAATTAAGTAACTCCAAAGAATTTGTATTTCCTTTTTCCTTTTACAGTAGCTGTTGTTATTCAGCTTATTTTTATTCGTTCAGAGAATCCTCGAAACGAGCATGTTACATGTCTTAGGAGGTACGCGGACGTTATTCGTTTAGTTTGTGAACGTATTTTTACCAACTTTATCAATCACACCCTCCTTTTAAGCAAGCTGTGTTTCACTTGAAATTTGCATGAAGAAAGAACATTGCTAACATGAATTTCATTAAAAAAGAGCAGAGACAATGGTAATTTGTTTGATGCGAATATCTAAATATGGATGACAAGCCGATTGCAACAAACAACCCGAGTAAGATAAGTATAAGTTTTGTATCCTACACGATGAGCCGTGACGTTCACTGTTTCGGCTGTCACTGCTATCCGTGACACAAGCCAATTATTAGCATATTCGGGAAATTTCTTCGGAAAGTAATCGAGAGTTTTTTTAAATGCAAATTTATCTTTTTTGCTAGTTGTGCACGTGCATATGAAACTTGAAAACAATGCCAATGAATAATGAGGACGCTCACTTGTGAACTCAAATCTGGGGGAAAAATTACTTCTTTTGGAGGCCCTATTTAAAAGCCTTCCCTGTTTTCAATGTTCTTGAAACTTGCAGGGTGTATTCATTGACAAATGGTCTCTAGATTGTCAAGTTTATAAAAAAATTTATCGAGCGGTTTTTAGAATAATGCGAAATTTGTAGGTATGGACCAAATTACGTATACAAACTGTAACAAAAGCAGCTGAATGCGGGTTAATAAAAGTCTTCTTTCTCGCGATCGCCCAGAGCAATTCCCCTCTTTTTTGGAAGGCAGTTTTCAATGGTATCAAACCACTATGAGATGAAGCCGCGTTTCCAAAGCTTGTCATTTTCTTAGAATATTAGCTAATTTTGTGGATAGTATGCTATTTCACTGTTTTTATGATTCTTAAAACTTCGTTTCAAAATACTTCCAAAATGCTCTCATAGAATTTGTTCAAACTTTGCCAAAACTGAGGCAATTATAACAGGTAAAAACTCCCTTAAGCGATTTCTTTAAAAAACTCCTGGTACAGAGAAACACCAAGATAAATGAAAAACGTAATGGCGTCATTACGTTGCTATGGTGACTCCGATTGCAAGAAAACCCAGATCATAAGAAAGTTTCATCTTTATATAATACAGCTGTGGTAACTTTTTTTCCATATCTCTACTCACGCCGACGTAGTTGACGTTCAAACTTGGGAGGTACCCCCCCTAAAAAATCCAGTCGAGCCACCTTAAAGTCACCAGTCTAATGCCCTGCGCGTCTGGTGCAAAAAGAGAAAGGGGAGGTGGAAAGGGAGAAAAGCGCGGAAGGGAAACGGAAGGGATGAAGGCTAGTTTGAGAAAACAATGAACAAGTGCTTGTGTTGTAATTGGTCAAGAAAAACAATTTCATTATATTCCATAGAGCACACATTACGTTACGCTGTTAGCTCATTATGTATGCACCTCAGCTCTTGAACCTTTTTAAACAATCATGATTAACTAATCTCTACGATATTGTGTGTAGAATTCTCACAAGTTCAGTACATCGATTTAAGTGAGATAGTTCATGTCGTGAAATCTGTGGTCCTTGTGACTAGTGAACGCGTTTTGCGAGTGTTTTTTTTTTTCGTGCAAAGGTGTCACCCAGACAATGTGTCCCTTTCCCCTGAACGGAAGTGACCCTTCAATAGAGGTAAAGATACAAAGATTATGTAAAAATTTTTCTGGGACCAAATTTTGTTTCCCCTGAATAGAGGTGTCCCTTGAATAAAGGTGTCCCCAAAGAGAAGTCCCATTATATTTCCTTTGTCCCTTTTACCCTCCAAGTCTAGGGCGCCTTCATTTGGTTGTGGGATGTGTTTCTGCCTTTCCCTTGTAGTATCAAAAGGTTTTTTCAATTAAGGCTTTAGCCCAGATTTTATACATGTATAGTTGTCAAGTTTACACTTGTGTAGATAGTCAAGTTGTATTTTTCAGACGGCATCTAATAAATATCCAAGCTTATAGTTCGTTCTGCACGCCTCCTTGCTACGTTGTTCGTGCGTATAAATAGGAGTGCACGCGATCTTTTATTGTGAACAGGATTAGCACGCGATAGTAAAGAAACGTTTCTCACGCGTTCTTGGGTTACATGAGCACTTGAGAAATTTTAGGAAACACTCGAGAAGAGGGAAAACACGCAACATTTCTATTGTACACGTTTTATAAAATGCTTAGGTTTATACAATTCAGCGATGGACTGAACGCCCTTCGACGCGTTGCTTGTGGTGGTTTAGCGAGTACACAATGTTTATTTGCATTCGTAACTGAATTATAAAACATTTAAGCCAAGCCTGCAAATAGCAACGCTAGTCGAGGGAGGCCAGGCACCATAATTATTTCACAAGCTGAGTAAATAGAAGTTGGCAAGTGTATCCTGTCTTTGCCCATTAATTAATCATTTCAAATTTTAATACATAATCAAAATCACTTTTTTCCCTCCAATTTTAAGCCATTGTTTGCAATGACAGCTCCCGCCTTACTGCTGTTACATTAATTTTACTGAGGTATTTTTTAGATCAAGTGAGATCGCACTGAGATGTGAAAGGGAAACGCCCACGATATCTGAAGAACAAGACATTTTTACCACAGTGCCCCTTTTAGAGGCCACGTTTATATCTAGTTATTTTGACGGTATTTCTAAATGCATTTATACAGTAAAACCCCAGTGCCCCTTTTAGAGGCCACTTTTATATCTAGTTATTTTGACGGTATTTTTAAATGCATTTATACAGTAAAACCCCAGTGCCCCTTTTAGAGGCCACGTTTATATCTAGTTATTTTGACGGTATTTTTAAATGCATTTATACAGTAAAACCACAGTGCCCCTTTGAGAGGCCCCGTTTATATCTAGTTATTTTGACGGTATTTTTAAATGCATTTATACAGTAAAATAAGGAAAGCATAATGTGCATGAATTGGTACAAGCGCTTTACAAGAAAGGTATTTTTCTTGAGTAAAATAGTGTCCTTTTAACGCAAGCTAAAAATTTGGCAAACGACCAGAATTGAGCAGATTTGGAATAGAGAATGTCTCCGTTTTTGAAACTGAAATCACGGGGTTGGGGAGGGTGAAGTTAAATAGGCTGCTGGGGCCATGAATCAATATTTACCATAAATTAAGGAAGTTATGGATTGTCATAAGCTGTGATCATTATCTTGTTGAGTAAGGCTTTTATGGAACAATCGAATGGCTTCCCATTGTCGAGAAGCAAGTAAGATGTGAGGTCTTCGACTTTTGATGTACTCATGTGCTTTCTCTGGAGTAAGTTTCTTAGCCTGCAGTGACAAAAGAAAACAGTGAGAGCTACTTCTACAAACAGCTTATTTTAATTATCATAATAATCCTGGAGAAAATTAATAATCACGACTGAAGAAAGATGTTTTTACCGACAGCAACACAGGTGGCTTAGCCTCCCACCCAGGTGTTTGTAGGGGAGTCGTATTTCCTCCCTCCCTTTGTGTAGACGGGGGAGGGAGGGAGGAAATATGACTCCTGCATGGGAGGCGACAGCTGGCTCAGAAGAGAAAATCTGAGTACTCTCAAAAGGAGTTGATCCTATGACCTTGTTGTTACTAGTCCAGATGCTCTACCACTGGGCTGCAGGAGACTTGTGGGAGCCAAGGCCACCAAACTAAATTCATGTGACAAACATCCCACATACTGCTTGAACTAGAATGTTATGTGCTTACGCTCAATGATAATGATGTGATGGTGAATTATAAGCCTGGTGAATATATAAGAAAGATGATTTTTCTGTCATTAACACAGGCAGTTCAAAAGAAAACATTCGAGTACTCTCAACAGGAGTTGATCCTATGATCTTCTGGTTACTAGACAATGCAGGTGCTCTACCACTGAGCTACAGGAGACTCATGAGATCCAAGATCACCAAACTAGGTTCATGTGACAGACATCCTGCGTATTGCTTGGAATAGAATGTCTGTATGTGCTTATGTGCAATGACAGAAACGTGAAGGTGAATTTCAAGTCAGGTGAACACACGAGAAAGATGTTTTTTTCAGTCAGTGACACAGGCTTGATTTACTCCTATCGGTACCCTTCTACTCCAAGGTTAGTCTGCTTTTAGACAGTCAAAAGCCAGCGATACAGTTAGCAGTAAAAGAACACACCTTCATTAAGTAACAAGCCACCAGTGTAGTACTCCGCCCTCTTCCTGCCTTACAGTGGACATACACAGTTTTTTCATTTTGGTTCATCTCTTCAATAAAAGCCACACCCCTTTGTATCATCTCCTGAGATGGTGCATTGTTAAAATCTACAGTTGACAACTGCAGCTGAGTAACACCCCATTCAGCCCACTCCTGTTGAGGACAACAAAACAAAAATTCAAAATAACCACTATCCACGAGCATATAAGATGATGTGAATCCTGGGTTTTGATTGGCTACCCAAGTCCACAAGATGAACCCATCTTCCCTGCTGCAAATTTCCCGCAATGGTCCCACAAGAAAAGTTATCTTTTTGGCCATACGATATATCCGTTATTGACCAAGCTTGACTAAGCTCTGGATTATCCATGAGTCTCTTGGAAAAGGCACACATCTAACAGCCTCCCGTACAGGTCACCAAATCTCCTAGATTAAATGGACTTTTGAGCTATTCTGTGCTTTAGCTTGAAATTTAGCCCATTTTTTCTCAAAATTTGAACTTTTATCATTCATTGTACAGTTTCTTGGACATTTTTGCTTGTATTTATTCAATGACACAGATTATTACGTCATTACAATCATGGAAGCGAATTTTGATAGCATGTCCTTCATGCAAGACTTCATATGATGTCCTTATGGCAGCTGGGTCAATTGGTGAGCAGGGGGGTGTGGGGGGTGGTGGGTTTGTTGACATTCAAGGGGAGAGGGTGTAGTGCAAAATAGACAGTCTCTAGAATTTAGATCTCTGGAGGTTGGTATCTCTGAGATGGCTGAATATTGGCCGCATTCTTTTTTCACATTGTTATTGACCTAGACTTTGTATCATTCCATAAATGTGCCAAAAAGAACTTGGCCAATATCCAGCCATTTTGACCTCATGCAACTTAAACATCAAATTGTGGGCAATTACGAGGAACAATATGAACAAATTAGAAGACTTTTAAATAACGAAAGTGTCACCCATACAAATGCAAGTACATGTAATACAGTGTATGATGTACTTCCCTTTTATCATTCCAGAAATTTGTCTCTACAGATACATTTATAAACTTTTAATAACCTGTTTACTGTTGGCAATATATCTTGTTTCATAATCTTCATTCATCGTTACAACTGCTTTAACATTTTCATTTTCCACCAGCTAAAAGAAAGAAGGAAAATATTAACCTTATAGACACTTGGAGGTGGTGAGAGGGATAATCAGTAATAATCAGTTTATTAAACCCTTTTGGTAGTGTATAACACTAAATTACAAGGGAGGTCAAGAATACGCAGAGCACATAATTACACATGGCACAGAAGGCAAAAACAATTAAATCCTATTGTAACTGTGGGTAACAAAATTGCTAAGGCAGTCCGTTCTGACAAAGCGGAATTCAGAACGAGAAAACCCGACCTCAACCCATACCCATGAGCGACATTCGTGGGCTGTGGCAGTAGGTGTGAAAGGAACCCGGACTCCTTGATGTTAGATATAAAACGCCTGCAAGCCTCATCACGGCGAGACAAAAGTGTAGGCAAGCCACAACGCACGAGTGCCGACTCATAAGAGCAATCTGGAAAAATTATTCTTAGTGCAGACTTCTGCACCCTTTCCACCAATTGAACCAGACAGTTGGGTAACGTGGCCCAAATCGGAGATGCATATTCTAAAATGGGCCGCACAAGGCTACAATAAACCTGAATGAGATCAGCTGGTGGGAGGCCTGATTTCATTAAGACACGCAAAACGTAGAGACGCTTGCGTGCTCTCTTCACAATTATAGTCGCAGTGAGTAGACCACGATAAATTGTGCGACAGATGGACACCGAGCAACTTATAAGATGGCACCTGCTCTATAATACTGCCCGACATCTGTAAGGGAGGTAGGTCGGAGGGCTTATACTGTAAGAAATCTATGCGTAACTCTTTACATTTGGATGGATTTAGCTTCATACCATGACTACTAGCATAAGAACAAATATCCCTAGCTATAAAGGGCAGCATGCTGGTTGAACATCTAGGAATAATCTCTAAGACTGAGAGATCGTCCACATACTAAACTCTATACCTGCCAACTCTCACGCCTTAGGCGTGAGTCTCACGCCTGCGGGTTGAAAACTTCGATCTCACGCCGGCTCACACTTGCGGGCCAATTTCTCACGCCTGATTGAAAAATGTGAGTTGTTGCCGTCTTGCTTGACACAATTTCCAAAAATATGTTAACTCAGACCCATGTAAGGAATGAAAACCATGTGTAAAATGAATAAATGACAATACCTTCCTCTCTATCTCTGATTTTTGAAGTGAAAAGCACTGGGAGCGAGTTTGCTTTTATATGCGTCTTAAGACTGGGGCTGGGATAACTTTGATGACTTCGCCTCTGGCAGACTTTGGACGTCTTCGGAAGACTTTGGACGTCTTCGGAAGACTTCAGACGTCTTCGAAAGACTTCAGACTTCTTCAGGAATCTTCCGAAATGATCGTGTCGTCTTTAAAAATCCCAGCACTCCCAGGATAAAAATCTCACGCTTATATCTCAGAAAAAGTTGGCAGGTATAAAACTCTAGTTTCCCAGTCCTTCACTAGGTTGTTGACAAGGATTGCAAACAACAGGGGGGCTAGTCTTGTCCCCTGGGGGATACCGCCCCTTGGAATAACGCTGTTGGACAAAGCACTACCGATTGTGACTTGTTGCGACCTTCCTGTCAAGAAGGCCCCAACCCATCTAATTAAGGCCTCATGCACCCCCAAACCGCAAAGCTCAGAAACCAAAACAGAATGATCCACCAGGTCAAATCCTTTGCTAAAGTCGGTAAACAAGATGCGAGCATAGCAATGGCTGTTGTCAAGCGCTTCTAGGATACAGTGAAGCAAGTAAACGAGCGCATGCGTAGTTGATCTGCCAGGGAGTGCAAACTGTTTTAGATCAATTTGTGATTTGCAGTTCTCAGACAATTTTCTTTAGTCTTTTAAGTTCATTCAATCATCATATTGTGGACAAAAAGAATTAAGATAAATTTCCATTTTAAGCTTTCAAATCTGAAATCAAATTTCACACTCCTGACATTACCCTGGCTTATCTTAACCCACCTTTGAACATCTCAGCCCTGTTGCTCAAAATTTATCCTCTTTTTTTATCCTTTGAGCCACCCCAACATTGGTCTCCCTTAGGGGTTCAATTTGAATTTTCTGGAAAGCATCCTCGTCAATTTTTTATGGGAGTCCCCCCCCCCCCCCCCCCCCCCAGGGTAATCCTGTTAGTTTGAATTGTTGAGTCCAAATTTCAAAGAAACATCACCCTCAAATAAGCACCACATTTGAGGTGTGATAAATAAATGGCGATTATTCAGGTAAATACGTTTTTTCTTGTTTACAAGTAGATGGGCCTATATAGGTGGCTAAGGCAGTGTTACAGTTATATCGGTATCCCCATGTTTTGGGCATCCCCATTCCCAAAACCCTCATGATAAAGGCATCCCCTTCCCATATCACCTTAGCGATATGTGTTAGGGTTAGGGTTAGGGTTACAGGGGATGCCTATATCACTTGGGTTTTGGCAATGGGGATGCCGAAAACGCGAGGATGCCCATATCACTGTGACTGCGGTAACGGTAATAGAGAGTCGCCCCATACCCCTTTGTTTCAGAAGGAATAAAATTATTATTACACTTACTTCCCTGGTCTGACTCTTAAACGGCAGAGCTCCTAGTATCACATGAGTGTCTACTCGGTCGTACCATCTTTTAGTGGAGCTTTCCGTGGCTATACCCCATAAAAGCGATGGATAAAACGCTATTCTTGCGAAAATCCAGGAACTCGGCAACATCATCGGCAGAAACAGGTCGCTCTCGGTCGTTATTCCTCGTGAGCCTCGCTTGCACTGAAGGAAATAGGAAGAGCCACTCTGGGAACCATTAGATCACATAATCAGCCAATGTTAGGAAATTACACTGAGGAATTGGAGCCGGTATATATTTGAGCCGGTTGTGTAAAGGAAAAGGAAAACATTGTGCACTACTCGGTGTAGCCTGGACAGCAAATGATGACGTAAACGGTACCAGTCTTTCTCGTCTTTCTCTTATGCTCCTTGATCCCTTGATCCTTTGCGGTCACTCAAAAACAATAACAATAATTTTTGCGTGTGATTTTGAGAAGAAAATACGTAAAAATTGCCTTTGAAAGTCTCCAGCGTCTAATGGTTCATCGTGCTTATCCACAAAGAGAGGTAATGAACCCTTTTAGGCAACATTTTGACAGGTTCAAAGCGCGTGATTGGCTTACTTTAGCGATTCATTGCGTGACTCGCATATGAATGAGCACAAAAAAGATGTGCATTGCACAATTTGAAAGTTCAGCAAAAAATGTTCATTTCTGTACTTGAATTTGGATAGCTAAGGTCAAGCTTTCGTATAATAATTATTTTCTATTTTTTCTCGGCATTGTAGCGGTAATGGAATCTCAGGCCTTCAGAAGACAGCTTTCTTTCAAAGATGCACTGTTGAATAAATACAGCCTTGAAGAAGATGACGAAGAACTTTGTTTTATACACATAAGTGGATCTCCAAAACACAAAGGTAAACGAAGCTTAGGTTTTAACAAAAAAGGTCTTATGTTGGCAATTACTGGCTTCTTTCGAGGCTTATTATTTCGGTGCCAAAATTTTTAAAAGTATTCACCATTAGATTGAACAAGATGCCTACAGCTACAGTTGTCTGAAAGGAACGGTTTAATTCGAAAAGCCATTGATTTTCTGATACTCTTCTAAAGTTGACGATTAAGTTTATTACTTAGTTGTAGTGTTGTAGGTTAGATAAATCGTTTTATCCAGGGAAACAAAGAGAAATTCCATTTCTAAATAGAATATACATTTTTTTTGTAAAATTTACATTTAAATTAATATATTTTAAATTTCATTGACCTTGCAGTTTTAATGGGAAATGCCAAATTAGTTTGTTTTTGCACATAAGTTGGTTAACACACTTACTCCTAATATCAAAATTTAAGTTCTTTTATATCTCTACATGTATGCTTACATTATCAACATACAGATTAGTTAGAAGTTATAAGTTATTGTTAATGCTTATCAAGAGAATTCCATTGATAATAATAATATTAATTCTTTAAGAATAATTTCTGGACCTTTCTTCTTGATTTTGCATTGTTGTCTGAAGGAGAAATTAGATACTGGTGAGGCTTAGTGCTTGAAGGGTTAGTGCAGAGTAGAAGTGTAAGGGACAGTATCAGAAAAAATTTTGTGTGATCTATGCTAGAAAAGTAAAGAGGTCACTTGCTGATGTATGAGTGACCACATTTAACTGGGGGAGGGGAGAGGGGGGACTTTAGAAGTCTTTGGATGGGATGTGCCTCTGGGACCCTGAAAGCCATAGCCTATGCCAAACCCAGCTGAGGCTGATTTTTGCTACCCCATAGTAGACCAAACTCCCAAAATCCCTTCCTATGATCCTAGATTCACTATTAGTAAATAATATATTTCTAGAAACAACTGCCCCCCCGGGTCACCAGCACCGTCCACCAAAACGAAAGCTTTCTGAGTTGTAGGTTGTGTCTTTTTTGGAGGGGACGGAGGGTGGTGGGGGGGGGGCAGTTTGTAAAATGCTATGCAGCAAAATCACCAGACACAAGATAAATTTTGCTTCATATTTTCTTTGTAACTCTATAGAAGGATTTTGCATAATGGTAAAGGTACTTTTAGTCTTATGACTTCAGGACATATTTCACCTCAAAAAGCAATATCCTCTTGAAATATAAGTCACTTAACCTCCTTCAATAATTTTGCACTGTTTTACATAATTTACAGCCCCTTTTGACCAATCAGAGCATTATCAAAAGAGAATCCTCACCCTTGATGGCTGTGGTATCACATGCGCTGGCCCTGACCGGGAGATCATAACAACCTGTCCAAATGTTGAGGAGCTGGATCTGGCAAAGAACAAGCTTTCTAACTTTGAGGAGGTGAGAAACAGTTATTGGATGGGGGTTTTGTGAAATATCCAAAAGTAAGGTTGAGGTAAGTGTTATCAGCCGAGCTGAAGGACGAGGCTGATCACACTCACGAAGACCTTGATTATTTAGGATATCACAAAAACCTAATCCAATTATTGTTATATTATACATTGTTTTGAAGAAAATAACGACTAACACACCGTCGCAAGGAACTTGAATTGATATTGTTATGGGAAATCTTGCATTGCATGGGTAACCTACAGATTAGTTGGTTATCTGCTGGCAGATAACTAACTTATCTGTTAGTTGCGTTGATTTCCAAAATTAGCTGTAGGCCCTCAGCCAATGAGAAGACAGATATTGTGTACAATGTACAATAAATATTAAATATTTAATGCAGTACAAATAAAATATTGTCTGGGCCTCAGCTGATCAAAAACTAAATACTGCTATCCACTAGATAAGTCACTTTAGTAAAATCCAACTAGTGGTCTATTATCAATGCTGCATTCTGATTGGTTGAGCTACTACTAGGCTATATGTTATAGCTCCCTAGTAGCGAAAACCGCGGGCTTTTGGGGCGGCAAAAAAGGCTGAAAGTCTAGCTTTTAACTAGCTAAAATTTTTTTATTCTCGATATTTTTGACCAACTAGTTAGATTTTACTAAAACAATTATTCCTCTTGCCCTCATGGCCTCTGAGTCAATAGCCCATTCGGCCTTTGGCCTCATGGGCTATTGACTCAGAGCCCATTTGGGCTCGAGGAATAATTGTTAAATATCCAGTGAATAGAGATTTACCCTGCCTTTTGAACAAGGTTAACTGGTGCCAAGCCCAGCTGTTATAAAGTAATGCTATTTAATAATTGTAGATGATTACAGGATCAAGGCCTAAGTAATTAAGGTCAACCAACGTATCACGCAAAACATTAGGATATACATGTACAGTATATCAGTTCAGTCGAGCGTCGTTACTAAGGAAGAGGATTAAGGGCTAATCCCGTATGTACAACCTTGTGAATACTGTTCTTTGCAAACTAATAAGTGACCAGTGTAATGTGCTTTGCTCCTTCTTGTTTCACAGGTGTTCCGTATAATCAGTCAGCTACACAAGTTGGAGTTCTTAAACCTGAGTGAAAATTACTTGTCACAAAGGATCGATGATTTTTCTCCATTTATTGAAGACCAGGATAGAGATGCTTTACCTTCAATTAAAAAACTTATTCTCAACAACACCTCTGTCCCACTAGAGACAGTTTACTCTCTTCTGACATGTCTGACTGGGTAAGCTAGGTTTGTGTGATGTTAAACTTAGAGTACCGTACCTTGTGAGCAGAGGTTTCTGTCTTGCAGACGGGGAGTAAACAAACCAACTACGTGACAGACAGGCCACGCGAATGACTTCATAAACGCTAAAAGCCATGCAAGAGAGAAACCTCTGCTCGCAGGGTAACAGTACCTTTAACCTTCCTCAATTTCCTAATTCTCCAGGAAGAAATTTTTTCAACACGTCAAATACTTTTCACAGAAATAAAATCCTAAAACAAATAGCTATAGGACCATGCAAAGTTCTGCTGAAGAGGTTTTATTTGAAATTGGTATAAGACCGTAATATTTCAAAGTTTTTGAGTAAAAGCCTTACATTTGAAGAATCATCTTTAATTGCCAGATATCGGGGTTTTTGTTTTCAGCTAATGACAGTCTATTTTAGAGGGTGGGGGTATTTCTGTGAATTACCCACCTGTGCTAGTGCACAGTGTCCAGGATAAGAATCTCCACACCCATCCCACCCCGGTTATGTGACCAGCAATCAACTTTTCAAGGTTTAACAATAACATAATTATTGTGATTAGCCTGAGGTTTACAATAATTCATGATCGGCTTCTTGTTTTGTTTCTAAATTGCAGAGTACAAGACCTGTATTTAAGTCTTAATGGCTACGACAACATTCCTGAAGCACCAGAGCAATACCCCAACATAAGAAGCCTATCAATCAATAAGCATGATATCAAACAGTGGGATGAGGTTGGAAAACTAGGATTTGTCTTCCCAGGATTGACCACTCTACGAATGTCTGAGTGCCCCCTGGAAAACATCACGCCTACAGAATTACCCAAGCAGTTTCCTGAGCTTAAGATTCTTAACCTGAATGATACTCTTCTAAATACATGGGAGGACATAGAAGCACTGAAATGCTTTCCCCAACTGACGGATGTCAGTCTCATGGGAATTCCTCTGTTAAATCAGTTTTCCGATCAAGAGAAACGACAGCTGTTGATTGCAAGACTTCCCAACATTGAAAAGCTCAACAAGACCAAAATAATGGAGGAAGAAAGGGAAGACGCTGAGAGGTTTTTCATTCGACACCATATGGATGATGAAAACCCACCATTAAGATACTCAGAGCTAGTTGAAAGACATGGCATGTTAGATCGGCTTGCTGATGTCAACCTTCGAGCCAAAACATCTGCCATGATCTCATTTATATTTGATGACCAGCCACTTTTCAAGAGGGAGATAAATCTTATGCAAAGCACGGCAAGTTTAAAAAAATATTTGAGTAAGTTTATTGGAATACCACCTCCAGGCTTCAAGTTACTTTACCATGATGTTGGGTTTTGCGTTGGGCTTGAAGAAATGTGGTTCGGGGCTAAGAAGCTGTACACATTCAAGATGAAAGACGGGGATGAAATACATATTTGGAGCAGATGAACCAAAAGAATACAAACTTTTAGCACTTAGTTGAACTGTAATTGAGTTTGGCTAATGGGCTTGACGGAACCCAAATCATGTAGACTGGGGAGGGGTTTTGAAAAAGGTCAAAAGTTGTGGAAAATACACAAAAGGTGTGACCATTGGTAACACACTCCAATTTCTCCATAATTTATGCTTTATGTATGTGGTACAAAAATGAAATTCAGTAATACATGTACAGTGTATATCATTGTTTTACTATTTGTTCAAAAATATTTCCAAACATTTAATATTTTACCAGGTCCTTAGCAGATTCAGATTTTTCAAAGAGCATCTGACATTCCTCAATTGGTCTTGAGATTTTTTGCAGTCTTCGTAAAATTTGGCAAAAGCTAGCTGGTTTTAAGCCCAGAGTTTTTCCATATGAAATCTTTCGGTAATAGAGAAAAGTTATGAATAATAATAATAACAATAATAATAACAATAATCAAAAAAATTATCTCTGTGTACAACTACTGTCACAATTTTCATTGATTTGAGTGATAGTTACTGATAAGAATGAAGACATAGCTAGAAATAAGATGTAAAAATAATTAAGTTGTCTAGATAGAGAACACTGGTGATAAGGAACATGATTGCTTTAAGCCTTGGACAATTAAGGCTCTGAAGGCTCAAAAGGAAAACTGAAGGAAAGCCAGTGCTCTAAACCAGTAAAATCTGCATGAAAAACTAAGATTTTCTAGTTGCCTAAGAACAAAACTTAGGTGCCAGGTGCCCCCAGGCTCTACTAGTGCATGTAGCCCTGCTTTGGGTCTGCGATAAATCACTTTTCTTGCCCTTTATAAACCACAGTATTTTCATTATTCATCCATCTTGTCATTTTTTAAAGGACAAGGTGACACAGTTCAAACTCTTCCATACGTATAATTATTTACATTACCATTAATGCTATAACATTGTACAGTTTTTGGCAAGCAAAATTAATGTAACATCTTGTTACAGCAATAGTTAATAGATATTAATTATGATATGCAAACCAGACACTTATTGGCTCTTGAAGAAATTCTTTTTTCAGTGGTTGGTGCCTTTAAATAATGAAAACAATGTTATAAACTTGAAATATTATTTTAATACTATTAGTAGGCTTATCTTCAGTCTTTTAAAAATAGTGATTTTGAATTGCCCTGCATGTACATAAATATTTCACTTGAGTAAATAATTCATTCAGACAAATGCCTTTAAATCATTGTTGCATGACTGCATTAACTTACTGTAGGTTGAACTTTGAAGAGATTCCTGAAAAATCCTTTGAGTACAAAATACAGTTGAACCTCCATTAAACAGCCAACCTCTATTGTACATGAAACCTTTATACCAATTATGGACTAGTAATGCTGTTTGATCCCCTTCATGTGATTGTTTCAACTAAAAAGGTGATGTTTCTGCTAAAGATTACGCTATGACAAACCTCAATTCAACTGTAATGCTATCAGCCATAGCAGGAGAGTACATTTTGAAGAGGTCTTGCATCATTCCCCTACTCTACATGTACTAGAAATACGTTATCACAAAATCCTCGAGAAGCTTTAAACGATTACCAGTGAGAATAAAGAGAAACAAGCAAAAGGGAAAAAAATGATCAAAAAACTAAAGGGGAAAAAATGCACAAGTTAAAAAGGTATGGCTTTGCCGGGATTCGGCCTCGCTCCCTCCAAATTTGCTCTAAGTGAAAATTTATCCTTGACCACTGCGCCACGCACCCAGTGTCACAACTGGATAAGGTCAACTGCGGACACCCAAGAGATCTATAGAAATATTCGCAACTCGAGTTTCTTCCTCGCTGTGCGATCAACATGTGAGGCACGCGCGCACACGCGACAAATTTATAAACCTTACTAGGCAAAGTGCCTTCGGCGCCTTGCATCACTTGGAATCACAGTTCACAAGGCATAGCCTGCGAGCAAGCTCTCCATTAATTTTGGGTGAGTTGCAACAAATTGCACGAGAGGAGACACAAGGGGCAGTTTCTCTCACGGCTCCTTTCGCTTGCCATAAATGGAGAGAACAGGTCATCACAGGATGCAAAATGTGAAGGAGCATTGACAGCCACCCTGAATCCAATCGACAACACCATATGGGCTGTGTAAGACCATTCAAGGAGGGAATTGGCTTTAGCCACCATACTGGAGTTTGTTCTAAGAGTCGAACTCATAACCTCATCCCCAGTGTTTCGAAAAGGAACAGGGTTCAAATCTCGTACAAAAAAGGATTGAGGTTCTTCCAAGGCTTTAGCCCAGTAGGTATCTGGTTGTTCTCACTGTGAGGAACAAGTTTATTCACTATTAGAAGTGGTGATTTAAGAAGTGTGGTGGGTTCCCCCTGCATGTATAATATCAAGCTAAAATTCTGGGTTACTTACATTTTATTTGTTTGATATTACACTTTCACTACCACTTTTCAGGGTAAAACTTCTATTCTAGTCTAGCTTTGTAGTCAAGAATAGTTTTTCTGGATTATCAGAAATAAATTATTTTCTGTGTTTTTATAAACGTTTATACTTTGGAGGCTCCTTGAGTCATGCCCCTCTAGCTGTGAGAGTGGGTTCCCTGTAAGGTATGTCTTTAACCACAGCATTCAAGGACTAACTCTGAGGGCAATATTTTACAACTGCAATTCTCATTATTACAGCCCTTCAAAACTAATATCACTTCTAGTAATAAGACAAAAATTAAATTTACTCTATACACTAACAGGAAGTGTTAGCTAACATCAGCCATTGTTACCTGAAAGAGATAACAGATAATAGTTATTTTTCATTAGACATACTCGACTCTCACAATAACCCTGACCATGCTCAAAATGGCATTTCATTTTACCCACACAGGGTTCGTACAGGTCATTAGAAAACCTGGAAAATCATGAAATTTAAGAATTTAATTTTCCAGGCCTGGAAAGTCATGGAATTTAGTAGTCAGTCATGGAAAAGTAAAGCTGTATATGTTAGATTAGTTATTGAAGTTGTCAAAGCAAGGAAAATTGTGACAAAGACAAGTAATTTCACAGTGCAAGTGCCACATATTTTGGTTTAGGCCAGATTCTCTATTTGTTGAACAGGGTTATTTAAAAAAAATACCTTTAAAACAAGGATAGTTTTGAAGCTTAGACTACGAGTAGTCCCCCATTTTTCCTCAGGGATAGTAGAGCAAGCGAAATGCGAGCACGCGTGAAAATCACCCCACGCGAGAAAAGGCGACATGCGGCGTGTCACCTTTTCTCGCGTGGGGTGAATTTCACCTGCGCTCGCCTTTTGCTCGCTCTTCTATCCCTGACGAAAAATGGGGGACTACTCGTAGTCTATTTGAAGCTAAGAGGGTCATAGAAACCTGGAGAAGGTCATGAAATTTGAAGAGCTCAAAAGAATGCGAACCCTGCCACCAACCCCAAAAATAAAATATTATAGACTAGTGACCTAGTGACCTCATCCTGGTTAAATTTTCAATACAAATTGAACGGAAATTCAGTAATGTATCATACTCATACCAGTAAGCATTTACGTCAAGATTTACTGAAAATTGGTCAGTTTCATTGAATCTTGCTAATTAAAACTTCCAACTGTTAACCTACATCTAGCCGAGTAGAATCTTCAGCATCCCAAAGTAATCACTCCCAGTTTGATAGAAGTTTGGCATTACTATTAAAACACACCTCAGCAGAATTGCTCTTTGCTCCACTTTCTTGATGACTACTTTTGGCCTTTTTCTTACTTTTCTTGGGAATATTTCTTTGGAAAGCCCTGGTTGATCCTCTACCAAAACATATTGTCCTTGGAAGTCTGGAAGTAATTCAAAGATTTGTGTCATAAAGAATAAACCAAGATGGAATATATTACATTCAAATATTAGTCATAAGTAACGTTTGCACATTAAAAACAATGCTGAACAGGCCCAAATAATTGATCTACATTGTATTGTCAAATTTACAAGCCAATTACTAGTAATACAAGACAATTTGGCATGAGCATTAATTTTAAAAGACTATAATTATCAGAAGTTGCTAATGGCCACTTCAGTATAAAGTAACAGTACAGGATTAGACTCAAAACTTTAATAATTAAGGGCTGTAAATCAAACCAACTGAACTACTGTACCTTTGTTTTGGGTTTGGACTGGCTGAACTTGGCTCTTTTTCCTACAAGTAAAGAGGGAAAGTGAAATCTACCAAGAGGAACACAATCATTATTCACCAAGGAATCCTTTTTTAAAATTAAGGATCTCCTACAATGCATTGGGTGATACATGTACATACATGTGTTTGTTTGGGCCTTTTTAGCATTTTCAACTGAATCATGTAAAATAATAATAAATTTTCACTTTTAGGTCAGAAGAAACCCTGAAAAGTGAAAAATACTGATTATTTTACAACATTAGTAAAAGTTGTACATTTCATTATCTTAACTATCAGGACATTTTATCCTTTTCAACTTTAAATTTAGTTTGTGTTCCATTGGGATGTCAAGTACTTTTAATAAATGACTGTAATACAACGAACATTTATTTTTGGTACTACTATTGTTATTATTATTATTATTATTATTATTATTATTATTATTATTAGAATCACCATTATTATAATTATTACCTGTGAAGCTGAGGATGTTTCCATAGGTTCTTCAGAGGATGGGGAACTAAATCAAAATGGAATAAAAAGTGTAACTAGGCAGTTTCAAATAGTGAGGCTCATTGATTACTACTGTCTTGTTTTATTTCTCTCAGCCTCGGAGCCAAGTCTGAATTTTGTCAATTCAAAAGTGGCCTATTAGCCTGTTCCACGCATTCAGATAGTAAGGGGCAGGTGGGCCAAAGTAAAGAAAGCAAGAAAAAACCGAGAGAATTCTGGGGAGAGCCACTCTTACATTTGTACAATCTGAATGCCTGGAATAGGCTAAAGTGTAATAAATTAATATTTTACTACTGAAAATTTTCTAAGGCTGTCTATTAGAGGGCAACCAATCTTAAACTAGAATCTTAATTTGAGTAAGATAAGTTAAATATAGTAGAAGGTTTAGGAAGAATTTAACACGATTTTCATTATTATTAATTTTATTTCATGGTGCTACGCTGTGCCTTGGTTCAAACCTTGAAGTTTTCTTTTTCCGCTGCTGTCTACTTGGACGATTAAATCTGAAGTCCGTGGGATACTTGTGAAAAGACACCAGATGGTCCTGTTGACAGATTACAAACAATCTTAATCAGATTCAAATTTCTTTCACTACCTTCCAAAAATAGGCAAGAAACACAGTTCTGTAATGGTTACCTGTGCTGAGAGCACACTGGTCGGACGTGTGTAGATCGTTCTTATAAGCCTTAATCTAAATTTCTTATTTTGAACACACTGTCCCACCTTGAATAGCCTTGCTAGCTGCGGGCAATGCTTCTGTTACATTACCTCCTTATTAATAAAATTTGTTTGTGTTTGTTTGTGTGAGTAATTTATGAAAGTTCGCGTCATGTTATCATGTACATTTTATAAACCATCTTTCTTATTAAATAAACTCATTCATTATTATTTATATCTAAAACATGCAGGAATTGATGTTTAATGAGTGTTTGGAAATCATGTTCGAGAAGTAAAATCAAACATTTGACATAGTACAGACTGTATTTCAAGACAATTGTTAAACACTTTGAAGTCCATTTATAATATACATGTAAATTGTAGGTCCCACTCAATAATATATTATTTTGTACTTTTTTGTGCATTTGTTGAGATGAGTCAGTTGCTAATATAAATTATTACCAAAAAACATTATTAACATTAATACTTGCCTGTGTACAGCCACCCCTTTGGCTACCAAACAAAAAAAAAACATTAAGATAGTTTTTAACATACTTTTATACTAAATCACCTTTCTCTCTTTATCACTTGAAAATCTATCAGGACAGCTCTCCACAAGACATCTGTACTATTTTACAAAAGTAAAAAGTAATTGTTCACAATGTTTAGCTGCTGTCAAACTAAAGTGTACATGTATACAATCTGTGTTCAAATTCCTCACAATAATTATCTTGACAATGCTTTGTCAGTCTAACTAGGAAATGAAAAACCTGGCCCCAGTTATTCAAACATTGAATGGTGCTATCCACCAGATACACTGTAAATCATTAGCAAGGGACCATTATAAATTTCTTGGAGACTGCCCACCTACCCCTCCCCTAAGCCAACATTAACACTTGCTTCTCATTTAGGTTAAAATGTTGCCTTAGGGAAGGGGTAGGTGGGCAGTTTCCCAGAAATGTAATGATCCTTATAAAGCCTATATTAATAATAACTGCATTATCCAGCAAAGAGAGAGATTTATCCAGTGGATAATACTATCCACCCTTTAAACAACTGAGGCCAGGTGTATAAGTTGACCTTTTAAGTCTTAAAAATAAGCACAAAAATAATCAACCTCCACTAATAATATACACTGCCAAAAACCGTGGAGTAAAAATATCACTTCATTGGCATAACAATAAACTGCAGAGTGAAAACATGACAAAGCACTACATGTACAAAAATTGTTGTAGGAATTTACAAATTAAAGGGATAAAATTATAATTTGGAATGTTTGCGAATTTTTCACATTGGCCATTACTACTTTAAGCTGTCCAGGATCTTATTTGGGTCCAAGTTTACTTTTGTTTAATATAATTTTATTTTTCATGAATAAAAAACTCATACATTTCTTGCAGAATAAGTGAAGAGAATTTGTTACTGCAAGATCAAAGCACTTTATAATCCCTTAAGTGATTATTTCATATATTTTGAGATCATAACCTTTCCTCTTGAGTATGTAGTGATATTGTTCAGAGAAAATGGATGTTGGTCAATCTTGGGACTTACAATGTATAAAAGGGTTAATATGGGGCATAGGCATATCTTAAACCTACTTATTGCAGGTACCACAGAGTATACCTTATTATAGGAAATTAACGGTCCATGAAATTAAGGTATTGGAATTTTACGTGACTTAAATTAACGCAAATTTAATCGAAAACGACTTTCGAATAAAGAAAATTAATGCAAAAGACAAAATTAACGCGACTTAAATTAACGCAAATTTTAACGATTCGCGTTGATTTCATGGAACATTAATATCGTATAATAAGGTAAATATATTTCTGTAAACTGTTACTGACATTACCAAGTTTTTTCTTGTGGCAATCATGCTGAACAAAGCATCGTGATTTTCAAGGACATGGATCTCCAGGAGATGTGTTGATGGAAATGATCTCTGACATTTAAGACAGGTGTGACGGTGCAAGCTGTTGTAGTGTGCTTCATAACTGCAACAAAAAAGTAAGAACAAAGAAAAATTAATACCGAGTATTTAGCTAAATGGACTTGAGCATGATCACTGTGCGTTGTTTCCAAGTTATAAAAAATGCATTGAATGGAAAGTTCTTAGCGCAAACTAACATCAAATGTAAGTAAGAATGAGATCAAAAAGGTACATGTATTGTTGGTTTACTGAGAATAATCTAATGCTCACTTCTGTCCAAGTGGCCCCCTGTTATAGTGTTAAAGTAGTCGCACTGTTATATATAGAGAGAGGATATTACACGGTGGCGCGAAGATATGAATTTTATTTTCGAAAGGCAAAAAAAAATTTTACGAACGAGTGCAGCAAGTGAGTAAAATATTGTTTTTGCCACGACAAAATAAAATTCATATCTTCAAGCCGCCATGTAATGTTCTTTTTATTATATAGACAAAAAGACATTGATAAAATAATGGATTAATAATTGTGATGGCTCAAATTTACAGTACAGCAATATAAGACATTGTTTACATGTACAATAATCTTGAGAAATAACACTGTAAGGAATAGGGCTCTACAATGACAAAATATAAGCAAAGCTTTGAAAAATGTCTAAGTAAAATTCAAAAGACGCAAGACCCCTACAAATTTTGGAGGGAAATTACCGAAATTACGTCAACGATAAACTCACATGGGAGATTATGGAAAATAAACCACTCGGGTCCCGGATGTAGTTTTTATGAATTTTACAAGTGGTATATTTTCCAGTAAAACACTCGCGTCTATATATATAATAAGTACATGTATTTTACTTTGACTTATTAGAGACCTTAAGATACACTGCTGTTCCTGTCTGTACAGGTATGGGAAAATTACTCCTATCCATAGCCGTAAGAAAGACTGAGAAATGGGTAGGTTACTGGGTAAAAAGGTGATGTCATAAGCACATCTGAGAAATCATGCTTGCCCTTTATATAAATATGTGGCAAATATGACGACCTATATGTTGCAGCTGTAACCGTAGGCAGAAATGGTATATCTCAAGGTCTCTTTGGTATGATGGGAACCACATTTAGGTGGTAGTTTATTCACAGAGTTGTCATTGTTACTTGCTAAGCTGCAGCACATGGCTACACACGCCTTGCAGGTACTTTTAATGTACTCACTTGGTGTTATTCTCAAGTTTAAATTTAACAATTTGCCTTCATACCTTGGTACACTAGAAAACCATTCTCCACAACTGTCGCACTTGAAGTCAGTTCTAAAAAGATTCAATTCAAATATTTTGATCATTAAAATATATATTTTTGTCAATAAAATTGTCTTTTCCAGCAGCATTTTATTCCCCATAATATTATTATAACTTGCTGTAAATTAGGTTTTGTCTCAGAAAAGAGCAACTTCAGAATACCTTGCCACTTAACCACTGTAGCATAAACAACATCTATGGAGTAGCGTTCTTCAACCAGGGGAGGTACTCCAGAGTAAAGTCATAGGGATGAACAAAGAATTTTTTAAGATCTGAAATTTTTTATTTGAGAATTTTTAGGGGAAGGAAAATGTGTCAAGTATATTTTGGCTGCCTCGACATTAGGGTTTTGGGGGTATTCAAAACAACTGAAGATAATTTGGTGTAGTACTGTGCACATTTGTCAGCTGCAAGTCCTGGACTACCAAAACGATATATGGTACGATGAAGAAATAATATTATAACCACAAACGTTCTATTTCTATTTTTGCCCCCTCTCAATTATCCCCCACACCATAAAGTTCTCTGGAGTACACCCCCAGTTCTTCAATGAAATACAAAGTTCTAAGTAGCTACAGTGTAGGCTATCAACTGTTTAGCAAAAAGAAGAGCATCTGTGTGTGTTTTGAAAGGCCACATTCTTGATTTCAGTTACTTCACTGTAATTAATAAAAGTAAACTTGCCTTTGAACAAGATGTTCCACATCTTCACTGTTATCCAACTGCTTCCTTGAAATGTTACAAAGTAACTCTCCTTCCTTCATTTTAAAGATTAACATACAAAAATATTATTGCAAATAAAATTATTAAAGATGAGAGCTGTTTAATTAATATTTTAAAAATATCAAATTTATTTCTTCATTGTTTTTAAAACAACTGACAAGCAGGAAACAAACTAATATCATAAAATCTTTGTTTAAGCAGCTGATTTTTAGCTTTTTCCTTGAGTTGCTCTGTTGAAATTCAGGGTAGTACATCAAGGGAGTTTGGGCAGCCAGCATTGCGAAGAATGCAATAGCTGTCTTGAATCCCACATACTCTCTACAAACTGCGTTTAATGTTGTTGAAGATGGAAAAAAGACTTCCTACTTTAGGCAAGGCAACTATAATCGGATGTATTGTTAAACATTTACAAATTAGTACGGTAAGGAAAATAGCCCAACCTCGAAAAATGGATCATCTGATAAGAGGCATCGCTTGAGTGGAGTGTACGACCAACCGGGTATTGAATTCATGCTCTCATACATCACTCGCTGTATATATAAACATACTTCACATGGTCGTAAATCTGCATAACCATCTATGATACAAAGCCAAAAATTGTGTAAATCCCTCGCTGTTTATGGAGCTTCAAAAAGTACGCCATTTTCAATAAACGTGACGCGAGTGTCGACTCGTAACCAGGGCCCTTGCGATCTTGTTAAAGGAGAGAACTCTGGGTTGATTAGTCAATTTTAAGGTGGCTCTCAACGATTTCAATCATCAACATTACTCGTGATTAAAAACATCCAAGTTATGGTTATTTTCATTTTAACCTTATTCCAAGTCTTTACTTCTTAGTATAATAAAATCTTATGAAGAGAACTTTGAAAAATTTAATTTCCAAATTCCCTAAGATATGCATTATGCATTGACGTTTTGACTGGAAAATCTTTCTTGCTGTGCAGTCCAGGGTCTTGAAAATGCCTAGTGACAGAACTAGGTAAGTGAGCATTATTGATCAGTTACCTGTCGTGAAATTTACACTGCCCTATTTCATGGTAGCCCACTCATGACTTCACATAGCCTGGTCCAGGTTATCAGATAGTAGCTCCCAACATTCAGAGATGATGGGGAGAAAGTTAAATCGTACGCAGGGAAAACAAGGGAGAGAAATGAGGCTAGGGGAGACGCCTGGCTCCCTAGTCTTTTTCGCCCACTCTCTACTTTCTGAACACCTCAAACCGTCTAGTTCACACAATCAGATGTTGCATTTTAAAAAATATTTTCACTGTTGCCTTTTCTAGTAATTACTAAGAATGATAGCCTGCAAAAACAGCAGTTTCAGATCCTCACTGTTTGCTTCTTGGGACACTTCAAAACATCCCAAGCAGCGAGGAGTGAGAAGAAATGGCTGTTTTCGCCGGGGCTATAGGAATAGAAACTAGAGCTTTTTTCTTACTTTTTGTCCATTTAAATTCAGAAATCAGAAGCTTGCAAAAAATATGGGGAGCAGGAGGCAACAACATGAATCAGGAATATGGGCAATCAACAAAGTTTTATACAGGGAGGCTCCACCCTGAGGTCCAACCCACTGGTTTATATACCATTTTTGACTGAAAAGATACCCCTTTCACATAATCCCTTTTTACTGCTGTAAATGCACTGTCTTTGAAATATGAATAAACCACAAAACCATGAGCACCCTTTTCGCCCTTTTTGCAGACCAAAATGACAGATTTCCTTAATCTTTCATATACTTCAACTGGTGATGTTCATACCTTTTCATACACCTGAAACCTGATAAAAGCGTGCAGGTGGAGTTTCTGGTAAAGGCCATTATAGGGAGTAATCCCCCAAAGGTACGCCTTGATTAGAGTATTGTTAGGGCGCATGGTCATCAGTGTCACTTGCTCTCTTGTCAAATTCTCCCCTTGTTTAACAAAAAAATACATGGTAATTTGTGAGGAGTAACTAGCACTTTATCAGAAGTCACTTGGGTCAGCCCATTGATTTACTTAATGATTATTAATTGGATACTTTTAAAGTAGCATTCGTGCGTGATTTGTACATAATCCAGCTATAAACAAATAATGATGCAAATAAAGTTATTATTATCACATTATTTTTATTCTCACACACTATTTTATTCCTTTGTTATTCATTAAATACAAAAAAAGAGAATGAAAGCATCTACTAGGGTGCTTGACTTTAAAAATGGTCTACATAAATAGAAGACAAAACACTATTTAAAAACGATTGCAATTCTCAAGGGTTATCTGTTTATTCTAGTGAGAATTAGAACAGTTAGGAGAAAGCTCTCTTGCAGTTCGTGACTTGACTTGACCAGTTATTGACTATAGCAAGAGAAAGTTAACAGCGAGCTTGTTTGTAGGCTATTGATTAAAAAACATAAAACTCTAAGTTGAATCTATTTATGACTGGGTCTGATTCCATCAATCATAGCACTGCATTTTTGCATTTTAATACCAGGCCCCAAATAATAACTATATAATTATTATATGTCAGCAAAGAAGACCCACAAGCCCCAGTCCCTTTTTAGCATTTTTGTCCCTTCTCGCTGACTGTCTAAGAACTGAACAGATCAAAGAAAAAAGGAGGACTGCAAACCGTCTATGTGACATGGAAATACGTAAGTATCCGTAATGGAAAAAATACCTGATTCAAAAATCTACCATTCCAAGCCTGATCAACCCTGTTTAATTACCCATCTTCAGTTGGTTTAAGAAATAGACATACTACTACCACTGTGCTTTATGTACCGTCCTAAGTGCATTGTATAGGTTGTGTTTTCATTAGGACAATTTCTTGACTAGATAAAGCCGGAAAAGTCTGGAAATACAGTGAAACACCTTGTCCTGTTTTCAGCTACTGGGTAGTTAGCCTCCTTGCAGACGTCCTTTGGGGTTCGTTTGTCACGCATTCATTTCTCCCCCACGGAAGAAATGAATGCATGACAAAGGAACCCCAAAGGACGTCTGAGGGGAGGCTACTGGGTAGTTAAAATGCAAGCTGTTTTCACAAGCAAAAACAGGGATTTTCTCACCTTTATGAGCAGAAATTCACGCAAAGTTATACTACGTAAGGAGATGGTATAACTTGTCCTGATAAATAGTGCAGCCAATCGGGTCATGTTTAGTGACAGACGCTTGCCTAATAATCTAGTAATATTATTTGCCAGACAATCACCTCATGGTTGAGCTTGGGAACTTCAACATGGCAAACGATTCCAACAATCATTTCTTTCTACTTACAATCCCACCGACCCCATTGCGTTTCTCTAGTTCTTCGGCCAGGTCCTTAAACCAGATTGTGGTCTTGGATCTTGCGCATAGGAAGAATGTTGTTTTGTTGTTGCAGTGACATAATAAAAACATTTCGTTGCATCCTCATCATTTGTAAGGACATAAGCCCCATTCACTGAATAACAGTTCTTTTCCTTCACAAAAATACAGCGAGGATAATCACAACAGAAATCATTACCAGAGCTTTGTCCCCACCCATTTTTGGTTATGGCGTGCTTAGATGCAGGTTAAAGTTCACAGTAAAAATAGTTGTCAAGTTTACCTAGTAAAAGTCGGTTTGTAAAAAAACCCTAGAAAGAATGTTCAGCTAGTAAATCGGCCTAACGAAAACACAACCATAATCGAGGTGGATTCCATAGGCGGATAAAGCAGTGACTAAGCCTATATGTGGATGTGTACTGCCTATGTATTTACGTGTCTGGGTCCAGATAGGAGTTCCATATTAAAATGACTGGGATGCTTATCATCCTGCTTAGGGGTAAAATTGAAGATTTTGGTCGCACAGGGTATTCTGGACAGAGAGCCAATTTTTTTTTTTTTTCAGAGAGCCAATTTTACCCATAAAGGTATTGCTTAGAGTTGAGTGAAAGGAAATACATATGTAACAAATGCTATAATGCTGTTTGAGTTTGGTTCCTTCTAGGGGCCAAATCATGCCCAGAATGTTATCACTTCCAACAAGCATACCTGGCATTTTCAGACAGGACCCCCATCCCACCCTCCTTAGAGTCTGGATACCCAACATTTTTCTGAGCGAAGGTCGTCGTAGAGCGCCAAGCATAGCGACTTTATAATCTTGTAGCATGCAAAGCACGCACGCAGTAGGCTAACCGCGCATGGTCTTAGCCAGCTGCGAAATTCGAGGCTTCATAAATCTCTCTCTGAATATATGCTTGGTATCCGCCAGTGACGTCATGGAGCATTTTGCGTTTCCAGGCAACACAGACTTCGCCGCTGATGACCAAGGCGCATTTTGAGGTGTTTATTCATTGTCTGTGAAACAAAGTTTACCATCGGTGAATCACGAACAATTTCCCATGCAAATGACACACAAGCACAACAAGTGGCTCCAAATCCTTGCCCAGGAAGATTTTCCACCGAAACTCTTCTGGAGCGAGAACACCAACTTCAAATTCAGTGTGAACAAGAAGGAGAAGACGTCAACAAGAAACCGCGTAGCAGAAGGAACATCGCTTAGCACAGCGAAGGCAACGCCAGCAACAAGAGATTGGAATCAGAGGCATTATGATTGTTTTACACTGTCGAAAACCCAGATTTCTTACTCTGCTGGTTTCCCCGCCGATATATAGATCAAAGTCTGCAAAGTTTCAGCTCTGTATTACGGCCCGAAGAATAACAACTTTTAGGCGAACTGAACCGGACGCAGAAATAATGCTAAATCTGCCAACAATAACACCACATAAGACGCAAAAAAGAAGAAGAAAAAAAGAAAGAACAATGTATGGACCTTTAAGACAATAATCGCGGTTGGTCACCCACCCAGTTCGTAACCCCGACCGACAGGGCTTAACTTGAGTGCCGTTACCACACCAAGTTTCACGAGGCTTATTGTGAGATACGTATTTCTAGTTAGAGAATAATTTATGAAGTTGTAAGGTAATCTGCAGTCTATCCCACTGTTGGGCCTTGTTCACAAGCTACAGCTGCGGAAAACCCTTATGTATGTGTTACATACACAATAGGTCGTAGTTCCACATCCCCTGTTGGCGGACGTTTGGTGCGAGGTGGCGATGGAGCTACCGCGCTAGTCGAAATTGGACTATCTGATTCTGGTTTTTCTGTTTCCACTCGAAAAGGCCCACTCAAATCCCCTGCGTGTCTTGGAAATATCTTTTTGAGCTCCTCCTCAATATGTATTATCTGATCCTCATGCGTTTTCTCTTTGTGCTTCTCAAATAAATGGTCAACAAGCTGTTTCGCGTCTTGCTCTGCGAGAGGTTTTATTTTCTCGTTGAAAAGCATCACAGCTTTGTCCGCTTCGTATTCGTGATAGGCGCGTTCTCCCAGCAGTTTTGGATCAATTGGCATAAAAACACGATAAATTGTGACAAATAATGTAGAAACTAACGCAAGCCCAAGCAACAATCCCCATGCAATTAACTCCGACAAAGTTCTTGCTTGAGAGAATTCTTGGTTAATAGCATTTCTTTCTGCGCTTGAATTTGCCCTAGCAAGTGCTGCGTTCAGAGGGCCAAGTTTGGCACAGACGTAGTAGTCTTTTTCCACGAAAGCGTAGATTATCCATATCACTGGCGGCATGAACGCAACAAAAACACCGCTCTTCGTTTTTGACCACAAAATCTTCTGTTCGCGGCATCTTAGGAGACAACAACCCGTAGCAACTTGCCAAAACGGAGTGGAAGCTAATAGCGACAGACAAAACAAGAAGACCGAAGGACCGAAGATAAAAAGGCTTCCATAAATCTCGAAATTCTTGTCCGGGCAAGAGAAGACGATGTCGTTCAGAAATTCTTTAACGCCGTACAGCAACAAAGCCGCAACGATGGTTTTCAGGGGCGCTTCGTTCGATTGTATTGTTGATTTGAAGGTATTTACAAGTCCAGTTAGGACTGTGACCGTGGAACTTGCAAAAGACATTCCGTCGCCAATGCCAATATTTTACCTGCGTTCACTTTGCATATTTTTTTCCTGCCTTTGATTACTTTGATTAAAGTCAAGAAGTTGCACAAAAGGTAAACAGCTGCGTGACATTGCGCATGATTCTGCGTGACAAGAGGGGAAGCCCGGCGGCGCCCTGGTGACGAGGTTCTTAACAAGAAGCTGTAAGAGTGTATATTTGGGCGTCGTGGTGCTACGCCCATAAGAAGTTTTTATGTGTTAGGGATGTGTGAGTAGGGCATTAACGTTGTATATTTAAAGGGTTGATTGAGATGCTTGAAGTGGAAGCCGTGGAGTTATATTGGAAGTGGATTGGTAAGATAATGGCTGTAGTTTGTTAATCAATGAAACTGGTTTCTCAAATTATTATACATTGTAGTCACCATCTGTCTTCTCATTGGCTAAAAGCCTACAGTTAATTCTGGGAAACAGCGCAACCTACAGATTATTCACTAATCTGTACCTACAGATTAGTGAATAATCTGTAGGTTACGCGCGCCATGCATGGTTTCCAAGAAGAATGGCTTCTATAATAAAAAATAAGAATGGCTTGTATAATTAAACAATTATTGGATGAGGTTTTTGTGATATCCGGGATAATCAAGGTCTCGGTTTGTGTTATCAGCCTCAGCCTTCGGCTTCGGCTGATAACACTTACCTCGACCTTGATTATTCCGGATATCACAAAAACCTCATCCAATAATTGTTTAAAATTTGATAAGAAGTGACAAAGAAATAAGTTTTTTGGAAGGTAAAAGTCATCTTTTATAGGTGTTACAGTGAGCTAGTTGTGAGAGAGCTAATTTGGTTATGAAGGGATAGTGTAGTTACGGTCTGTTGAAATGAAGTAGTGGTTGTAAAAGATCTTATCAATAGTCAAAAACATATTGTACTTATTTTTAAATGTTGTTAGACTTGCTGTTTAGGATTGTTTTTCGGCTATTTTTGATAATATTTGAATGGAGAGTATATGGATAAGGGAAACTTCATTTATAAATATGGAAAAGGAGGTATG